TGATGTGTTGGCAGAGGAATGCAAGATCAGAGGGTATGAGAGCATATTAAAGTTCTTATTAGAAGATGATATCTTTGATGTAAAAAATTTAAAGAGAGTCTTAAAAGTAAAGTGGGATAAACTGAAATGTAAGATTAAGATAGAAATAAGACCAAATACATCAATAAATATAATATATCTAAGTGAACCAAAACTCCAAAATTGAGTTTTGAAAACCAAAATTAAGAAAATTACTGATTAGAATAAAGAAATCTAGATACTTTCTAGAATACAAGACACACTTAAAGCATAGGAATACAGCAAGGTTGAAAACAATAGGATTTTAAAAAAAAAGAAATGCTAACCAAAATAAAATTGTTATTGCTACACTAATAAAAATAAGGCAAATCATTATTAGGGATGATGAGGGTTGTAAATATAGACAGAAGATTTAGCATATCAAGAAGGTATAGCAATTTTTAACCTGCGTGAACCTGATAAAATATATGAAGCAAAAATTGGTAGATTCAAATAAAGACTTCAATATCTGAATTGAGAAATTGTTAAAACTGCAGAGAAAATTTTTTTTAAAGATTCATTTATTTATTTTAGAAAGTGAGAAAGAGCATGAGTGGGAGGGGCAGAGGGAGAGAATCTCCGGCAGAATCTGGGCTGAGCATGGAGCCCAATTCAGGGCTCGATATCACAACCTTGATATCACAATCCAAGCCAAAACCAAGAGTCAGATGCTTAACTGACTGTGCTACCCAGGCACCCTAAAACGGCAGAGAAACTTAAAAATTATTTAAGCAGAGATTTCAGTATAGAAATCAAGATCAAGTTGGTCTTAGTTAACATATCAGGTTCTTTGTTCAACAATTGGGAAATATTTTTTCAGGCACACATGGATATTTACAAAAAGTGATTTGTGTTAGGACATAAAGGTTCAGATAAAATTTAAATAGCTATTGTAAAGTGATCTCTAACTACAAGTAACTTAGAAGTTAGTAACAAAAAGAATTTTTTAACTACTACATACATATTTGGAAGTTAAAAATAACACTGAGTAACTTGAGTAAAAAAAAAAACTATAATGGAAATCACAAATACTTGGAACAAAATGATAATGCTTACACACCAGAAACACATCAAAAATTCAAGAGAAAGTGTATTAGAAAAGAAAATCTTTTAAACAGTATACTAGGTGTCCATCTTAAGTTAGTAAAAGGAACAGTGGAATAAATTAGAAGAAATCATGAAAATAGGGCCACCAGTCATTAACATACAAAGACGAAAGTTGCCTGTTTTGAAATAAAAAAATACATCTCTAAAAAAGACTGGTCAAGAAGATAAAATTACGAGAGAAAAGGGCATAATTGCAGGTAGAGAGTAAATCATTAGTGAATATCTTATGCCAACAATTCTGAAAACTTAGGTGAAATGGAGAAATTACTGTAAAAATCATAACTTAAAGTAACGGACTTAGGGGCTTCTAGCTGGCTCAGTTGGTAGGTAGAGAATGTGACTCTTGATCTCAGGGTTGTAAGTTCGAGCCCCATGTTGGGTATAGAGATTACTTAAAAAAAAAAACCTAACTTAAAAAGAAACAAAAAGCTTGAGTAGTATTGTTACTGTTAAATGTAGATCTGGTTAGAAAGATTTCCCCACAGGACACCTGGGTGGCTTAGTTGGTTAAGCGTCTGCCTTCGGCTCAGGTCATGATCCCAGGGTCCTGGAATCGAGTCCCGTGTCAGGCTCCTTGCTCGGCAGGGAGCCTGCTTCTCCCCCTGCCTCCCACTCCCCCTCCTTGTGCTTTCTCTCCGACAAATAAATAAATAAAATACTTAAAAAAAAAGAAAGATTTTCCCCACAAGGGAAGTAAAATGCTCAAGTGGTTTTACTGGCAATTTCTACCAAACTTTCATGGAATAAATTCCAAGTTTATTCACCTACCCAGGCAGTAAAAATACGGAGTAGCTCCCAATTCATTGTACAAGACCAATGTAAACTTGATATTAAAGCCAGGAAAATAAGGTTTATTCAGGAATATACACCCAAAAATTCTAAAGAAAATATTACCAATTAAAATTCAATAATACATAAAAAGGTAATAATATGGACCCCTGGGTGGCTCAGTCGGTTAAGCGTCTGCCTTCGGCTCAGGTCATGATCCTGGAGGCCCCCAGGATCAAGTTCCACATCTGGCTCTCTGCTCAGTGGGGAATCTGCTTCTCCCTTTGACCCTCCCCCCTCGTGCTTTCTGTCACTCTCTCAAATAAAATATTTTTTTAAAAAAAGTAATATGACTAAGACATTTTTGCTAGGAAGTTAAGGAAATATTTTAAAATCCACAAGTATATCTTTTTTTTTTTTAAAGATTATTTATTTGAGAGAGGGAGAGAGAGAGCATGAGAGGGGGAGGGTCAGAGGGAGAAGCAGACTCCCTGCCAATCAGGGAGCCCGATGTGGGACTCAATCCTGGGACTCCAGGATCCTCACCTGAGCGGAAGGCAGTCGCTTAACCAACTGAGCCACCCAGGGGCCTGCCACAAGTATATCATTTTAATAATGAAAGAAAATATCTGGGGGGGGGTGCCTGGTTGGCTCAGTCTGTTAAGCATCCAACTCTTGATCTCAGCTCAGGGCTTGATCTCAACGGTCGTGAGTTCACACCCCACGTTGGGCTCCATGCTGAGCATCAAGCCTACTTTATGAATAAAATATAGGTGCACAAAAAGCATTTGACAAGATTTAACCCCAGTTCATTAAGGAATTGCCTCAGGAAATTTGTCTGAAGGAATTTCCAACTGAGTATTTAAAAAAGAAAAAACACGTCGGGAAAGCTGGACAGCTACATGTAAAAGAATGAAACTGGACCACTTTCTTAAACCATACACAAAAATAAACTCAAATGGATTAAGGACCCAAATGTGAGATCTGAAACCATAAAAATCCTAAAAGAGTGCACCACACGTAGTAATTTCTCTGCCATCCACCACAGCAGCATTTTTCTAGATCTGTCTCCTCAAGCAAGGGAAACAAAAGCAAAAATAAACTATTGGGACTTCATCAAAATAAAAAGCGTCTGTACAGTGAAGGAGACAACAGAACTAAAAGACAGCCTACTGAATGGGAGAAGATATTTGCAAATGATGCACTTGATAAGGGTTAGTTTCCAAAATACATGAACAACCTAACACACAAAAAATAGATTCCAATTTAAAAATGGGCAGAAGACATGAACAGACATTTCTTCAAAGAAGACATACTACAGATGGCCAACAGACCTATGAAAAGATACTCAGCATCACTTTTAACATCAGGGAAATGCAAATGAAAACTATAATGAGATATCACCTCACACCTATCAGAATGGCTAAAACCAAAAACATAAGAAACAACAAGTATTGGCAAGGATGTGGAAAAAAAGGAACTGTCATGAACACTTGGTGGGAATGCAAACTGGTGCAGCCACCGTGGAAAACAGTATGCTCAGAAAATTAAAAATAGAACTTCCATATGATCCAGTAATTGCAGTACTGGTTATTTACCCAAAGATTATGAAAACACTAATTCAAATGGATGGGTGCACCCCTATGTTCATTGCAGCATTATTTATAATAACCAAATTATGGAAGCAGTGCAAATGTCCATTTATAGATGAATGGATAAGGAAGATATGGTATATATACAATGGAATATAACTCAGCCATAAAAAAGAATGAAATCTTGCCATTTGCAACAACATGGAGCTAGAGAGTATAATGCTAAGCAAAATAAGTCAGAGAAGGACAAATAACATACTATTTCACTCAAATGTGAATGTAAAAAACAAAAAGACAAACTGAAAAAACAGACTTGAAACCAGATCTGGCTAAATCAGACGTAAGAAACATGACAGAGTTCTAAGGTGATTGAGTGCTATGTTGAGAATGTCTTGTAAGGAATTCAAAAGGGCCATTTGTTTTTCTTTTCCATTTTCATCCCTAAGATATTTTTAGAGCTAAAATTGTTCAGTTACTTACCTGGAGGTAATGCTCCTTTTGAAGTGGTTCTTTTAGGCTTAAAGAAATGTGATGGTTTTTATCTCTTTAAAACATGTAAGAATACGTTAGATACTAAGGTTTCTTTCTTTTATATAAATATTTCCTTCTTTGATCAAAGCAATTGCTTGTAAACCAGGAGCTTTGCCATTGTTTCTGTTAAAAATAAAGGCAGAGAGTAGTATCAGGTATATTGCCATTGTAGCATTCTGTCAAACTATTTTTTAAATTATGTCCTGCAGTTATTCCATATAATAAAGTGTTTGTTGCTTAGCTTTTGCCTGTCAGGACAAGTTGAGTAGAATTTATTCTTCTCTTTTTGTTAGAGCATACCAAATTCTCATAAAGTAAGAAGCAACAAATTTTTATGCTACTGTTTAATTTTTTTGTTGTTGTTGTTTTTTTTTTTTTTTTTTAGAATTCAAGGACTTAACCTGAACACAATATTTTTCTTATTGAAACATCATAGACTGTGATAGGGCTTATAGCAGTAGAAATAGAAAAGACGGATATCCTAGAGAGACGTCATGATTCAAGAGAGAAAGCCTCTGGCTCTCTTTATCCTCCTGGCTCTTGGTCCAAAGGCAGTATTTGTTGTATTCTGAAGCCAAATGTAAAACAGTATTCATCTATTTTAAATTATCAGTAACTCCTTTCAAAGTCGAAACAAGACTGTATTAGGACAGACTTTTGAAAAATCTTATGATTATTTTAGGAAAATTTATTTTTCATTAGAAAATTACTTTTTTACATATAGTTATTCTGTGTTCTCTACTAGTATATGTTACAAATATGATTCTGAAAATTGGAATACATCATGTTTAATTCTTGTATAACTCAGAATTGTTTGTTTACGATTGTTGTTCCCTTAGAGATAAATACCTTTCTGCTTAAATCTGTATAAATTTTTGGCAAGATTGATAAAGTGGTTAGGAAAAAAGAGCTGCACTTTAGCTAGTATTGCTGACTGTTGTTTAGGAAGCAGTACCACCGGAGCAACCTTTCAGTGCCATTAAACAAGAACAGCAGAGGAAATGGATTGAAGATTTGAACAGGCAAATAGAAGATGATCGGCAAAGAAAAATAGAGGAAAAAATTACATCTTCAAAGGTAACATGTGGGTGATAGAAAAGGAAGAAATAATTTGAGTCTTTAATCATAAACCTAAAAGTATCCTAGAACTATTTGACAAGACTACAGTATTCAAATTATTACACATTTGCTCTTGCAAACCTTTTATTGAATGCATTTAGTAAGTGCTTTTGCATAGTTTCTTAAAACTAGCTTTTTAGGAATTTCCTGATTCTTTGAATTTCTCATATTCTCTATGTTATCTAAGTATATATGGAATCAAATAATGTAACTCTGTTAATTTTTATGCTTATTCTGCTCTGTGGTGACTTTTAAAAATGGTGTTTGAATATCGTTTTAGGACTTTATACCTGAGGACAATTAGAAAAATTCTTAGTAATTCTTATTTATCATGATTAGGGTGAGGAACATGACAGATGGGCAATGCATTTTGATTCATTAAAGAACTATCCTGCTTCTCAGTCTCAACTGTCCTCTCAGTCAACACACAACCAACCAGAGTACTTCTGTGTCTCTCCGGACACTCAGGAACTGGCTGATATCAGCAGTGTTTATACACCTATGACTGGAAGTCAGGTTGAACCTTCAGAGGAGGAGCATATAGCAAAACCTGTTAGAGATAAGGCCGTGGCAAACAGTCAGAAAACAAAGTAAGTTTATTTTTCAGTATTTATTATATGTGTAAGAAAGTCTATGTGCTTTATGAAAAGGACTGTCATTATATTTATAATATGTGTTAATTGATTTCAGGTTTGGTATTTTTCTTTAAAGTAGAAATGACTAGTGGATATATCTGAAACAAAAATGATTTAGCATCTTGTTGTTAGGTTTAACCTTTTGTGGGTTTTGAATAGCTAAAGTGTTTATCTTGCCAGCTTTCTCCGTTCTATGACTGCTCTCTTGGATCCAGCTCAGATTGAAGAACGTGACAGGCGACGACAAAAACAGTTAGAACATCAGGTATTGCATTGTAAAATACGCTTCTTTGCCTTCGTAAGTAGTAGTCATGGCCAGTGGATACCTAAATAAATGGAAATTAAAATTCCAGTATAAATGTACAACACATGACCCTGTCCAGTCCTGTGATGAATCTAATTCCTACTCCAGCTGGCATTAATATTAAAATTATACTGATGCTGAGAACCAGACAGTATCACATAGTACAGCCAGCCACCTGCCTTCCAGAAGAGAAGGTCTTTAATATATAAGTTGTATATATGAAATGGCACTAAATCTTAAGTTAGTACTGGTTATTTTTTCGTTTGTTTTTAGTTCTCCTGAATTTTGTTTAGGATGAGAATAATTAATTCTTTTAAGGGAACTATATAGGGCATTGAAGTAGAATTCTGATTGAGAAATCTATCAGATAATATAAGGAGACTAAGATTAAAATTCTCTCCTAATTTTAGTCTAACACTAAAGGGACTTAAAATTCTGAATAATTCTTTAAAACCTCGGATGCAGGGGCACCTGGGTAGCTCAGTCGTTAAGCGTCTGCCTTCAGCTCAGGTCATGGTCCCAGGGTCCTGGGATTGAGCCCCACATCGTGCTCCCTGCTCCATGGGAAGCCTGCTTCTCCCTCGCCCACTCCCCCTGCTTCTGTTCCCTCTCTCGCTGTCAAATAAATAAATAAAATCCTCTGATACATGACGAATTCGGTTTAATTAATATTGTTAGTCTTAATCAGTAAGTGAATTACAGAACATCTGCTACTTACCAGGCACTATGCTAAGTGCTGAGATTTTTTCTTCAGTTGTTTTTGGATTACTTCTAATAGCCCTACTCTGGTTAAAGAAAAAGCATATAGCATTTGAAAGACAAGAGATGGGACAAATACATTGGAAATTTGACATTTTAACTTTACTTATATATGTAATACTATATTATATATTATCTGAGACTGATAAACTTATTTTAGAAATACAAATGCTTCAAATGGATTTTTTAAATTTGACAGTGCTTTTTGTGATTTATGATTTATGACTAGAAAGCCATCACTGCTCAGGTAGAAGAGAAACGCAGGAAGAAGCAGCTGGAAGAACAGCAAAGAAAGAAGGAAGAACAAGAAGAGGAGCGTCGCTTAGCACGGGAGCGAGAAGAGATGCAGAAACAATATGAAGAAGACATACTTAAGCAAAAACAAAAGGAAGTAAGTATATATTAACATTTTTTTATTGAAATACAGTTAACACACGTGTTACATTAGTTTCAGGTATACAACAACATAGTGATTCAAGAGTCCTATATGTTACGCTGTGTTCACAAGCATACCATACACACTATTACAGTACCATTGACTGTATTCCCTGTGCTGTAGCTTTCACCCACATGACTTGTTCATTCATAACTGAAAGCCTATACCTCCCACTCCTCTTCCCTCATTTACTAACCCCCTCTTCCCCGCTACCAGTTTGTGGGTCTGTTTTTGTGTGTGTTTGGGGTTTTTTGTTTTGCTTTTCATTTTATCTTTCTAGATTCCACATGTAAGTGACTTCCTGTGGTATTTGTCTTTCCCGTCTGACTTATTTCATTTAGCATAGTACCCTCTAGGTCCATCCATGTTATTGCAAATGGCGAGATCTCATTCTTTTTTATGGCTGAATAATACTCTACTTTCTGTATATACCACATCTTCTTTATCCATTCATCTACTGATGGATGCTTGGGTTGCTTCCATATCTTGGATATTATAAATAATGCTGCAGTAAACATAGGGGTATATATATCTTTTGTTTCCTTTGAGTAAATACTCTGTAGTGGAATTACCGGATCATGTGGTAGTTCTACTTTTAATTTTTTGAGGAAGGTCCAAATTGTTTTCCACAGAAGGTTGTACCAATTTCCCTTCCCACCAACAGTGCACGAGGGTTCCCTTTTCTCTACATCCTGACCAACACTTGTTGTTATTTATCTTTTTGATTAGGGGGAGATGATGTAATTATGGTTTTGATTTGCATTTCCCTGATGATTAGTGAAGTTGAGCATCTTTTCATGTGTCTGTTAGCCATCTGTATGCTTTGGAAAAACGTTTATTTGGGTCCTCTGCCCTTTTTTAAAAATCAAATTATTTGGCGGGGGGGCACCAGGGTAGCTCAGTCGGTTAAGTGTCCAACTCCTGATTTCAGCTTAGGTCATACTCACTGGGTCATGAGATCTAGCCTGCTTAAGATTCCCCCCCGCCACCACTTCTCTGGCTCCTCTCCCCATTCATGTGCTCAGGCTCTCTCTCTTAAAAAAGAAAAAAATCAAATTAGTACAGAGTTGTACTAGTTCTTTGTATATTTTGGAGAGTAACTCCTTTTCACATAGATTGTTTGCAGATACCTTCTCCCATTCAGGAACTTGTCATTTTGTTTTGTGGGTGGTTTCTTGTGTTGTACAGAAGCTTTTTTTTTTTTTTAATATAATCCCAACAGTTTATTTTTGCTTTTATTTCCCTTGCGTGAGGAGACAGATCTAGAAAAATATTGGTAAGGCCGATGTCCAAGAGGTTACTGCCTATGTTTTCTTTAAGGAGTTTTATGGTTTTAGGGCTCACAGTTTAGATCCATTTGAGTTTATTTTTGTGTATGGTGGAAGAAAGTGGTCCAGTTTCATTCTTGTGCATGTAACTGTCCAGTTTTCCCAGCACTTTTTGTTGAAGAGATGTCTTTTTCCCACTGCATATTCTTGCCTTCTTTGTTGTGGATTAGTTGACCTTGTAAGCATGGTTTTATTCCTGGGCTCTCTGTCTTCTTCTGTTGATTTGTTTTTGTCATTACTATAGTATTTTGAGTACTAGCTTTATAGCATATATGGCTTGAAATCTGAGATTGTGATACTTTCAGCTTTGTTCTGCTTCCTCAAAATTGCTTTGGCTCTTTGGGGTCCTTTGTGGCTCCATACAGATTCTAAGATTATTTGTTCTAGGGGCGCCTGGGTGGCTCAGTTGGTTGGGTGACTGCCTTCAGCTCAGGTCATGATCCCAGAGCCCCAGGATCGAGTCCTGCATCGGGCTCCATGCTTAGCAGGGAGTCTGCTTTTCCCTCTGACCCTCTTCCGTCTTGTGCTCTCTGTCTCTCATTCTCTCTCTCTCAAATAAATAAATAAATAAAATCTTTAAAAAAAAAAAGATTATTTGTTCTAGTTCTATGGAAAATACTATTGGTATTTTGATAGGGATTGCATTGAATCTGTGGATTGCTTTGAATAGAATGGACATTTCAAGTGTTAATTCTTCCAATCCATGAACATGGTAGTATTTATATTATAAATAGCATTATAGAGTAAACATGGATGTATTTTTAAAGGAAAAATAATCAGAAGTTTAACATTTGCATGTATTTTGAAATTTTGAAGGTATATCCCGAAACATTGAAGTTTTGCATTATAAAGGTTATGAATTTAAGGGAGAAGCTAGAGAAGTTTTAATGATTCAAGTGATTGGTTCACAGATGCCATATTGCTTGGGTTTCTTTCTCTGCCAAGAAAGGCCAGTACAGTGCAAAACAAAACTTATCCATGTGCTACATTTTGAAATGTTTTCTAAGCAATGATTATTAATAAATATTGTAGATGTGTTAAGAGAAATGATTGACCTTTCTGTTTGTATCCAGTAGTGAACAGGAGCATATATTTGCAGTGATTGGCTGGGATGGATGATACATTTTATTGCTGTGTTAGAGTTTTCCTGTGTGCTAAATAAGAGCCTTTTTAAATAAGAGTTGATACCTAGTTAGCTAGGAGAACATCTCTATTAAGTGGTGCACACAGCATAGGTATGTTTGTGTCAAGTGCCATGTTTGAGCTGACCTGACATGAGCAAATCATACAATGACATGGGATTGCCGAGGTTTTGTGAGGTTTAGAGTAGAGCATAGAGCATTTCCCCTGGCCCTGGGAGATGGAGCCCAGAGCCTACATTTTCTTGATTTTTCCCATTTTCAGCCTTTACTCCACACTTAGCTGATGAAGCAGCAGATGGTCTGGGTTCTAATTACATTATGTTGAATAGGTTGAGCCAACTACTCCTATGAAATAACTATATAAGTGAAAAAAATCAAAGGATCATTTGTTTGAATTGCAAGAAATGGCCATAAACCTTGTGTTTTACCTCTTAATAATCTATTTTTAATCTTAATGGAATTCTGATGGAATTGACCACTGGTTTTAGAAACTTTGAAAACTTTAGTAACTTCAGTGGGTAAAAGAGTTCTTATATTTGTGGTCTAATACAGCTGTAGAATATGATACTAAAATGTAAGCTCCAAAAGGGAGAAACTTTGCCCTGTTGACTGTTCTCCCAGTATCTTGAATAGTGCCTGGCACATAGTAGGAGCTTATCTGCTCAGAATAGTCAAGTCTGTACGTGTTTGATAATTGTAGTTAATAATTTTGTGCACTTCAATATGAATAGGAAATTATGACTCTCAAGACAAATGAGCTATTCCAGACAATGCAGAGAGCACAGGAGCTAGCACAGAGGCTGAAACAAGAACAGAGGATCCGAGAATTGGCTCAAAAGGGACATGACACTTCTGGATTGATTAAAAATCTTGGCGGTAAGCACTTCACTAGAATTTTACTTATAATATCTTTTGAAGAGATTTTAAATAACTGCCTATTTTTAATACCTTTAACACACCTATTGACTAAATATCGTTTAAGGAATTTCAGATCTTGAACTAATGTAACTTTATAATGCTTATTTTATTTGGGAAATTGCCTTAAGAGTAGAACTAAATAATGTTGCACTTTCCATTAATCTTTTATGATGTAGGAAAGATGTTAGGGTTCGAAGCCGACAGCCGAGGAAGAATTCTTGAGATGTTTTTGGTGCAAAAAGGTGGTTTTATGAAAGCACGGAGACAGGACCCTTGGGCAGAAAGAGCAGCACTAGGATCATGAGGACTGGCCCATTATATACTTTCAAGTTGTGAGGGGTTAGGGATAGTGTAAGTTTCTAAGAAATTTGGAAGCAAGGTTTCCAGGACCTTGAGGGGGCTAGCTGTTGTTGGGAAAAGGTCATTTATTACTGTCTAATAAAACCTTAGTCATGAGACCCTTCAGATATATATCAGTGGGTCATATGATTGGGGGATGATTGCCAGCCTGTGTTTGGGGGCAGGCGAGTGGAGATAAAGGAAGTTTTCCAGAGGAATTTTTTTATGTTAAAGTAGAATTACAGGATCGTGGGGGTTGGGCTAAGATTGCCTTTTGCCCTTAGCAAAGTGTCAACATCCAGGCATTTGAGTTCCTAGAGCAATGTCACTGCCTATTTCAAGGACTTGTCAGTGGGCTGTAAGTAGTAAGGAAATTTAATAATTTTTCTTCTGCCTTTGTTTTCCACATCATTTTACATAAATTTTCTTAATGTTTTGTTCACAGTAGGTAAAATGTATACTTTTTTTACCCAATTTTTCTGGAGAAATCTATGAAGTGATCTCCCTATATTCAATAAGGGATAAAAATGCAGATCACTTTTTGTAAGAAAATTTAGGATAGTCCTTTTACATTCTTATTGCAGTGTTCACACTTACTAATTGCTCTACAAATCTTGTGTATATTTAGTTGCTGCTACACATACTTTCTGTTAATCTTCCTGAACTGTCATTATGTTGTATAATATAGTTCTCTTGCTAGTTGATAAAAGTGGAATATAATGCATCTACTAACAACATTTCAAATTTAGGACATGGCTTGGATGATGTCAGTGGTAAAAAGAATACATGTATCAGTTCTACAACTTCTCCCAAAAAAGATACTGCTGTACAAACAGGTATTTGTTTAAAAGTTGTGATTTGGTTTAAAATTTACTTAAAATTAACGTCACAGTTAGAATTAAGCTCAATTTAGAATTGAGCTGCTTAAAAATGAAAAGAAATTCACCAAAGTTTTCAATAAGGATTAGAAAATCAGTTTGTTCCTTTTTTTTTTTTCCTTATTTATTTGAGCGAGGGGGAGAGCGAGAGAGAGAGCAGAAGCAGAAGGGAGAGGGAGAAGCAGACTCCCTACTGAGCAGGGAGCCTGACGTCAGGCTTGATCCCAGGACCCTGAGATCATGACCTGAGCTGAAGGTAGATGTTTAACTGGCTGAGCAGGTGCCCCAATACCTTCTAGTTCTATCCATGTCATTGCAAATGGCAAGATGTCATTCTTTTTGATGGCTGAGTAATATACCATCTTCTTTATCCATTTATCAGTCGATGGACATTTGGGCTCATTCCATATTTTGGCTATTGTTGATAATGCCGCTGTAAGCATCAGTGTGCATGTGCCCCTTTGAATCAGTAGTTTTATGTCCTTTGGGTAAATACCTAGTAGTGCAAGGTAACTATAACTATTTGAGGGACCCCACCCCCCGCCAACAGTTTTCCATAGTGGCTGCATCAGGTTGTATTCTCATCAACAGTGTAAGAGGGTTCCCCTTTCTCCACATATTCGTCAACATCTGTTGTTTGCTGTGCTATTAATTTTAGCCATTTGGACAGGTTTGAGGTGATATCTCATTATAGTTTTTGATTTGTGTTTTCTTGATAATGAGTGAAGTTGAGCATCTTTTCATGTGCTTATTTGGCATCTGTATGTCTTTGGAAAAACGTCTACCCATTTCTTTCTTTTTTTTTTTTTTTTTATTTTTTTTAATTTTTTTTAAAAAGGACAAAAAGGGGGGGGGGGGACGGCAGGGAGAGGGAAAGGAGAAGCAGACTCCCCGCTGAGCAGGGAGCCTGACGCAGGGCTCGATTCCACAACCCCGGGATCATGACTTGAGCTGAAGGCAAACACTTAAGCTACTGAGCCATGCAGGTATCCCTTCTGCCCATTTCTTAATTGGATTATTCACTTTTTGGGTGTTGAGTTTGATAAGTTCTTTACAGATTTTGGATACTAACCCTTTTTCAGACACATCATTTGCAAATATCTTCTCTTCTTCTGTAGGTTTTCTTTTAGTTATGTTGATTATTTTCTTCACTGTGCAGAAGCTTTTTATCTGATGAAGTCCCAGTAGTTCATTTTTGCTTTTGTTTCCCTTGCCTCTAGAGACGTGTCTAATAAGTGCTATGGCTGATGTCAAAGAGTTTGCTGCCTGTGTTCTCCTCTAGGATTTTGATGGATTCCTGTCTCACATTTAGGTCTTTCATCCGTTTTAAGTCTATTTTTGTGAATGGTGTATGAAAGTGGTCTAGTTTCATTCTTCTGCATGTGGCTGTCCAGTTTTCCCAACACCATTTGTTGAAGAGACTGTGTTTTTCCCACTGGATATTTTTTCTTGCTTTGTCGAAGTTGACCATAGATTTGAGGGTCTGTTTCTGGGCTCTTTATTCTGTTCCATTGATCTGTGTGTCTATTTTTGTGCTAGTACCATACCGTCTTGATGATTACAGCATTGTAATAGAGTTTGAAGTCTGGAATTGTGATGCCACCAGCTTTGGTTTTCTTTTTCAAGATTGCTTTGGCTATTTCGGGTCCTTTCTGGTTCCATACAAATTTTAGGATTATTTGTTCCAGCTCTGTGAAAAAAGTTGATGGTATTTTGATAGAGATCGCCTTGAATGTGTAGATTGCTCTAGGTAGCATATATTTGTTCTTCCAGTCCACAAGCATGGAATGTTTTTCCATTTCTTTGTGTCTTCCTCAATTTCTTTCACGAGGGTTCTGTAGTTTTCTGAGTACAGATCCTTTACCTCTTTGGTTAGGTTTATTCCTAGGTATCTTACAGTTTTTGGTGCAGTTGTAAATGGGATTGACTCCCTAATTTCTCTTTCTTCTGCCTCATTGTTAGGATATAGAAATACAACTGATTTCTGTGCATTGATTTTATATCCTGCCACTTTGCTGAATTCCTGTATGAGTTCTAGCAATTTTGGGGTGGAGTCTTTTGGGTTTTCTACATAGAATATCATGTTATCTGCAAAGAGTGAGAGTTTGACTTCTTTGCAGATTTGGATGCCTTTTATTTCTTTTTGGTGTCTGATTGCCGAGGCTAGGACTTCTCGTACTATGTTGAACAACAGTGGTGATAGTGAACATTCCTGCCATGTTCCTGACCTTAGGGGAAAAGCTCTCAGTTTTTCCCCATTGAGAATGATATTCGCTGTGGGTTTTTCATAGATGGCTTTTATGATATTGAGGTATGTTCCCTTTATCCCTACACTGTGAAGAGTTTTAATCAAGAAAGGATGCTATACTTTGTCAAATGCTTTTTCTGCATCAATTGAGAGGATCATATGGTTCTTATCCTTTCTTTTATTAATGTCATGTATCATGTTGATTCATTTGCAAATCATCCCTACAGCCCAGGAATAAATTCCACTTGATCGTGGTGAATAATTCTTTTAATGTACTATCGTATTTGATTTGTTAGTATCTTGTTGAGAATTTTTACATCCATGTTCATCAGGTATATTGGCCTATAATTCTCCTTTTTGGTGGGGTATTTGGTTTTGGAATCAAGGTAATGCTGGCCTCATAGAATGAGTTTGGAAGTTTTCCTTCCATTTCTCTTTTTTGTGGAACTGTTTGAGAAGAATATATGTTAACTTTTCTTTAAATGTCGGGTAGAATTCCCCTGGGAAGCCATCTGGCCCTGGTCTTTTGTATTTAGGAGATTTTTAGATTACTGATTCAGTTTCTTTGCTGGTTATGGGTCTGTTCAAATTTTTTTCTTGCTGTTTCAGTTTTGGCAGTTTGTATGTTTCTAAGAATTATCCATTTCTTCCAGATGCTTATTTTGTTGGCATATGATTTTTCATAATAGTCTCTTATAATTGTATTTCTGTGGTGTTGGTTGTGATCTCCTTTTATTGGTTTTATTTATTTGGGTCCTCTCTCATTTCGTTTTGGTAAGTCTGGCTAGGGGTTTATCAGTTTTATTCTTTCAAAGAAACAGATTTTAGTTTCATTGATCTGTTCTAGTTTTTTTTATTTCTGCTCTAATCTTTATTATTTCCTTTTTTCTGCTGGCTTTAGGCTTTATTTGCTATTCCTTTTCTAGCTCCTTTAGCTGTAAGTTTAGGTTGTGTATTTGAGATTTTTCTTGCTTCTTGAGGTAGGCTTGTATTGCAGTATACTTTCCTCTTAGGACCACCTTTGCTGCATCCCAGAGGTTTTAAACTGTCATGTTTTCATTTGCTTCCATGCATTTTTAAAATTTCTTCTTTGATTTCCTGGTTAACCTCTTCTTTCTTTAGTAGGATGTTCTTTAACCTCCATGTATTTGTGGTCTTTCCGAATTTTTTCTTGTGGTTGACTTCAGGTTTCATAGCATTGTGGTCTGAAAATACACATAGTATGATCTCAGTCTTTTTGTACCTGTTGAAGGCCTAGTTTGTGACCCGTATGTGATCTGTTCTGGAGAATGTTCCATGTGCACTGGAAAAGAATGTATTCTGCTTTAGGATGAAATGTTCTGAATGTCTGTTAAGTCCCTCTGGTCCAGTGTGTCATTCAAAGCCATTGTTTCCTTTTCATTTTCTGCTTAGATGATCTGTCCATTGCTGTAAGTGGGGTATTAAAGTCTCCTATTTTTATTGTTTCTTTATGTTTGTTATTGATTGATTTATTTGGGTGCTCCCAAGTTGGGGGCATAAATATTTACAATTGTTAGATCTTATTATTGGATAGACCCCTTGTTTATGAGATAATGCCCTTCTTCACCTCTTGTTATAATTTTTGGTTTAAAATTTAGTTTGATATAAATATGGCTACTCTGGCTTTCTTTTGACTTCAGTTAGCATGATAGATTGTTCTTCATCACCTCACTTTCAATCTGCAGGTATCTTTAGGTCTAAAATGAGTCTCTTGTCCCCCTGCTTGTGCTCTCTCTCTCTCTTGCTGTCAAATAAATAAAATCTTTAAAAAATAAATAAATAAAATGAGTCTCTTGTAAGCAGTATATAGATAGGTCTTTTTTTTTTTAATCCATTCTGATGCCTTATATCTTTTGATTGGGGCATTTAGTCCACTTACTTTCAGAGTAATTATTTATAGATAAGAATGCAGTGCCATTGTATTGCCTGTAAAGTCGCTGTTTCTGGAGATTTTCTCTGTTTCTTTCTAGACTTTGTTGCTTTTGGTCTTTCCCACTTAAAGGGTCCCCTTTAATATTTCTTGTGGGGTAGTAGTTTAGTTGTCATGAACTCCTTTAGTTTTTGTTTGTTTGGGAAGCTCTTTATCTCCTTCTATTCCAAATGACAGCCTTGATGGATAAAGTGTTCTTGACTGCATATTTTTCCCCATCAGCACCTTGAATATATCATGCCACTCTCTCCTGCCAGGTTTCTTTGGAGAGATCTACTGCTAACCTGATTTGTCTTCCCTTGTAGGTCAGGGATTTCTTTTCCCTTGCTGCTTTCAGGATTCTTTCCTTATCTCTATATTTTGCAGATTTTACTGTGATATGTTTTGGTGTTGGCTGGCTTTTGTTGAGTTTGATGGGAGTTCTCTGTGCTTCCCAGGTTTGGATGCCTGTTTCCTTCCCCAGATTATGGAAGTTTTCATCTATAATGTGCTCAAATAAACATTCTGATGCAGTGTTTTTTTAAAAAGTTTATAGAGTTGTGCAGCCATCCCCACAATGAATTTTAGAACATTTTTATCACCCCAAAAAGAACCCCTGTGTTCATCAGCAGTCATTCTCCATTTTCTCCCTCGTCTCTAGTCATATGTAGCCACTAATCTAATCTCTGTTAATCTAGATTTGCCTATTCTAGACATTTCATGTAATTGGAATCATACCATATGTGGTATTTTGTGCCTGGATTCTTTCACTTAGCGTAA